TAAAGAAATGGGTGACAGGCTGAACCTCACCTATGAATGTACAGTATGTGGATTTGTGAAACTGACTGTAGGAAGTCAAAAACTTATACTGTATCTTGTGTTTACAGTTCTGATTTATTCCTTTGAAAAGCCTGCTGTTTTGGAAATGCACAGTTGACATGTTGAAATATAAATAAATACCATTTTTAAATGTTTCTTAAATGATAAAGATGTGACCAAACAGAAGTCCTTTACTCTGTAATCAATGAGACCAAATTCAACATGCCTTTGTTATGGAACATTTACTGTGACAGCAGAATCTATAATGCAGTCATTCCCAGCCTTGTGAGCTGACACCTTCATGGGTTTGTGGACTTTGTGACTTTTTCTTCCTGTCCCCAAAGTGCCATATGCTACCTTAAAAAATATTAAAGTGAATTCAAATTAAATTTTGATTTGAGATTTTGTAACCCCTCTTGAGATCCCTCAGCACACGCAGCGGTGTCACAGAGCCCAGGCTGGTAATCACTGCCTTAATGACTTACTTCCTACTCTTTCTCCTATGGTTGTAGAAACAGTAAATTACCCAAGTTCTGAGCTTGTGTGGATCCAAAGCGGTTAATTGCTAATTATTAAACTAGTCCTCAAGTCTTAGGAATAGATTATAATACATACATTGTCCAGCAGGCAGTAAACCTCATGAAAAGCGTTAAGGAATTCACAGGAAGAGCAACGCTGCTTTACTGGCTTATTAATCTTGCCATGGGTCACATGAAGTGGATAGTTGGCTAATAGCTTCCCTCTAATTGGCAATTCCTTCCAGTACTGCTGAGGTACTGAGACCATTACTTAGGCAATATTGCTCTCCACTAATTTGGAGTTAAGCAGGGAATCTAGGAAAAGGGAACCACATCCGTGGATATTGGGTGCTTGTAGTGTGCTGAGATTATCATTTTGCCCTTAACAAAAACTGGAGGTGTTCCTATCACTATCCCCATTTTAAACAAGAGAATTCTGAAGCTAACAGTTTAAGTTATGAGATCAAGGTCACAAAGCCAAGATTCAAACTCAAATCTTCCTAATGTCAAAGCCCTAGTCCGCTAAGCACCTTGCCCCACCCCAGGAGGCAGGGAGGCCATTCCCTGCATCTGTTGTGGCAGAGGAAGCCATAAAGCAGCCCAGCCTGAACCATTACCATACATGCCTGATATGTGTATATGTGTGGTTGTATTTCCATTTAGGATTTCTAGATATTCCTAGATTTCTAGAAATCCTTCAAATTCCTGATGCTTTGTGAAATGTAGGTACACCAGACCCTTTACACTCTGCCAGTGAGTTGGCTGGACTGATAACTCTGCACAGGAAGCCCAGAGGTTGGTAGGGACTCTGACCAGGGCCATGGGAATCAGGAAGGGAAAGCAGACACACCCACAGCTCTGTAACCAAGGCGATGGCATCGTAGAATAGCACTGTCCAGTAGGACTTACTGGGAAGATGGGAAGTTCTCGATTTACACTGTTCAGTATGGTAACCATAAGCCATACGTGGCTATTAAACAACTGACGTGGCTAATTTTCTGGGGAATTAGGTTTCTAATTTTAAATAGCCACACGTGGCTCAAGACTACCATATTGGACAGCATGGGTATAAAGGAAGAGATCACCTTTGGGAGATCTCTGGGCCTGTTTCCTCAGCTTCAGTGTGAGAGGTTAGAGCTTAAGATTATGTTAATTCTGTGAAAATGAGGGTATGCTTTGACAGTGACTGTACGGAAGAAAGAGGTGATTTTCCATTTGGAAGTTCTTCAGCCCTTTGGAGCATGGAGACAAGACAAAGGCTACTTTTGAAGCCCCAAACCACTCCTGGGCTTGTTTAGCAAAGCCTTGAGAATATCTGGCTTAAGGATTCCAAGCCATGGAGCAGCTGGGAGAGAGGCTGGTGCCTAGGTGAAAGGGGGAGTGGTTTGTCAGATCTCAGAAAGTAGTTTACAGTATGCCAGGACAAACTGTGGCTTTTTATAAGGCAGTAACTGGAAACTTGCTGATGTCTAGCATGGGGGGAAAGTGAGCCAGTCCAGCTAAGTGCCAGTCCAGCTGGGTACCTAACTCTCAACCAGCTGCCATCTGTTTCAGGCAGCTAATATAGGACCACTTGTCCCCCACTGTGGCTCCAGGAAAGTCCCAGTTTTCAGATGGCAACCCAAGGACCTTACAACGTTGGGGTTAGGAGTGTGCACTCTGGAGTCACACTGTTTGCATTTGAGTCCCAGCTCTGCCAGTGAGAACTTACACACACATATAACATCGCTGGGCCTCAGGACCCATCTCTGTAGAACGGAAGTGATTACAGTAGGTATGTTACAGGTTGATGTTTAAAATGAGTTATCTGAGACACAGTGTGTGCTCCATAAATACTGCCATTGTTGTGTAGCAAAGCACTCGGGGCAGGAGGAGTGCTGTCTCATTTCCCCAACCAGGGTCTAGTTCTATTCTTTTATTGCCATTTAAATCTGTAATCATATTCCATTCTCCCAATGTACAGTGCCATACTATACATATTTACCTATGTCTAGTAAGCTGTACAGTAAGGCATTCAATTCCAACATGCATTGTAAACATTAAGTGGTTGGTGATATGAGTTAGTTAAGAGATAAAATTAGACAAAACATAAGTGGAGGAAGATGGAAAAAAATGATGATGATGACAATTCCATAAAGTGCAAAAGTCTGCTGAGAGAGGTTATAAATTCCATAATTTTCATTTTTTCTTTTTCTTCTTAGAGGTGTCAACAAAAGTAAACAATTTTATAATCATTTAACAAATTATATACCATACTGTCTCCAATTGTCAGCGCAGAATGCCATTCTTCTAAATTGTACACTTATATTTGAAAAAGGTCAGGATTTTTTTTGTTTCTTGAAAAGATCAGTGGCATCTTAGAAAAATAACATGTAGACCAGTGCTACTCTAAGTGTGCTTAAGAACTGGTGCTGTCAAACTACTGCTGGTATGTGACAACATAGAAATTAGACGTTTCAAAATATGTATGGCAAGTTGACATTGTCATGACATGATTATCATGCTTATATTCTGTATGTCTTTTCTTTTAAAGATTATTTCATTTTTCTAATAATTTAGTGTATCTTACAAAAGTATTACTTGTGATGAACTAGAGGGAAACTGGTCCATCACCCCAGATAATCTGAGAAGCACTGACAAGAGCCACAGACTACAGTGTCCATTGCTGCGGGGCACAAATGACTGGTATGTGTATAACATCAGCAGATGTAGTCACCTCTTGAATGCATTATCCATGGGGTCATTTCCTTAACTTTCTTAAAAACATGGTAATAAAGGAAGTAGAATATGAGCCCTGGAAGCAGACATATGGGGGCTCGAATTCTGATTCTACCACTTTAGCTATATGTGTCCTTCAGCAACTTTCTCCTATCTTCTCTGGGTCTTTCCTCATCTGTAAAATGAAAATACCAAAACATGTCACAGAGTGACCATGAGGTGCAAATTAAGAGGTATCGAAGGCACCTCATGTAGTGCCTGATGGATCTCTAATCAATGTTGGTATTCTTCTCCTTTTCTTTTCAATCGGTCTTTTTTGGAAAAAGGACCAAATCTAAAAAAAAACTTATCCCTCAAATTATTTAAATAATAAAGAGAAGCTGCCCACTAACTGCATCTTCCAAGATTTATCGTAGATAAATATAGTATTCATTTCAAATCTCTGGTGACTTATTAAGGTTCACGTTCAGGGATCATAACAAAAAAATACAGTTACTTTTAAAAGATAATCCAACTCCTAGGCCAGAGAAAGACTAAAGATTTTAACGTATCTGAGTAAAACTATGCCTATCAGAGGGGGTGGAATGTTGGTCAATAATGATTAGAAAAACAGCAGTCACAGAGAGGAAAAAGTTGGCAGGACCTGCATAAAGGAAGGGGTGGTCTTTGTCAACAGACCTGGTATCTCATCCCATTAATAAGGCTAGCCCCATTGGGGTAGGGGGTGGCATCTGCATTAAACTCTTTGGCCTCATGACATTAACCATGTGAATTATATAACAAGCTCCCTTTGTTTTGTTTCAGTTTACCAAGTAGCCTCCTTATAATTTGACCCCTTGTAACTGTCTTCTGAGAGAGAATCTGCTGGTCATATCAATTCAAGTGTTTTTATCCTTATGCTAGTTATATTTTTGGTTCTGAATCACTACTTGTACCAACTATATGAATTGGCTAACAGGAGACAAGTCTTATGGTGTAATAACAAAAAGCAGGGTTCTGAGTCAATAAGGCTAACAGTTATACCCAAATAGTTCACTCTTCAATGTCATGCCACCCAGCAGGCTCTCTTAGAAGGCAGCTTGCTCCTGTTGTCACCTGAAAGTACCTCTCTGTCTTCCCGCAGGTGTCTTCAAACTTCCACGGCCATTATGTTGTCTATCTTGCTTTCAGTTGGACAAGAAAATTTAATTTATAAAATTGTACATCTCTAAGTCTGGGGAACAGTCACATACAGAATAATGTAACAGAGCATTTGTTTAGTTGGCATCACTTCAGGATCGTAATTCCTCCACATATTTAGATATTTTTATGTCATCCATCATCTATTCCAAACCCTCTTAAAATAGAAATATCTGAAATTTCCAGATCTTTTTTAAAAAGTCATAAATTGAAATATTGTCCTTCATGTCAGATGGACATTCCCCTGTAATTCAGCCCTAAGTATTACTGGCAAACCATACAACTAATTCACAAAGCATTTTTTTGTGATATGGAAAATGTGTTTTAAAACTTTTTAAAAGTAACACTTGAATGATACAATTGTTTAAGCATAGCCACCTACACTATATCTCACCCACACATCTGGTGTCAAACAGTCCAACTTGCTAACAACAGTAAGCTTTTGTAGGCATGAAACATAAGCAATAACATAACAAAGGGATCTGTTAGGCTCCATAATTATACACCTATGGTGTATGAAGCACAAAGTCAACTTCCAACCACCTGTGAAGGGCAGAGCCATTTTATTTAGTGGTCGTTTAAACTGTTCAAAGGACTTTAAAAAGGGAGGAGGAGAGGAGAGAGGAGGTGAGGGAGAAAGAGAAGAGAAGGGAGGAAAGAAAGGAGGGACACATTTCTTACAAGAGTTATCTGTACATTGCTTGATGGGGATTAGAACTGTGATCAGTACTATAATATACCCCCAAATCAAATGAAAACAACATAAATACACTAAAAATATCACAAGTAATGCTTTTAATTGTTTAGCTTCTCACAGTAGTCACAAAGCAGAAACTGACAAACCTATGATTTCTTCTAAAAATAAACATGGAAAACAATATCCTGGAGGACTGCTATTGTTGTTCTCTCTTTGGCTGTTCTTATTGTGATGGTTACACCTGGCTAGCTGCCCATGAAGAGCTGCTTCCTTCCCTCGGCAGTACCTCTTCCCCCTGGCCCAGTGGCTGTTCTGGCTGGGACATACCTGGCAGCCCCAGCAGATTGTTTATGTGTTATTTACTCATACGCATATGTTGTACCACACAAACTGCCTCTTAGAAGACGAACTTGGTGAGCACAGGCACTGACACATCTGATACATTTATATCACCAATAAATATAATTATAAAAAAACAGATTAAACCATAAGAAAAATGTTCAAACTTCTATTTACTCATAAAATAGTTACCATAAATCTGAATGGGAAATACATCCTTTGGTTCTTTAAAAATCCAAGTCCATATAAAGGCAGATTAACTTTAGTGGATATTACAAAAAAACGAAGTTCCTAGTATGAAAAGATGTCTGGCAAAAACAGACCTGTAAATACTTCAAAGAGGAACTATCATTTGAAAATCAATCTAGAAAGTTCCAGATGGATAGTCATGCTCTTTTTTCATGATTTAGAAAAACTACTAAATTTGGCTCAGGAAAGCAGCAGTGCCAAAATTCTGTCTATCCTTCCCCCATAACCCTTGTCCTGATAAAAAGATTTTTATGATCCCATCACAGGAAAAAAAGCCTGATTTTGATTCTCAGAATCAACTAAGCAACATCTTAACCCTGAGATTGTCTTGCCATGTTCAAATCTTTTCCCAGATCTATGTTTTGGCCTTCTTTCCTCAGGGTCAAAGCTCACAGCCCCTCATTGCACTCTGGAGTTTAATATCATGACTCAAGAAAAAAATTGTTTTGTAAGAAACTGTTATAAACACATATAGTTAAACAATTTTTTAAATGGATCAGTCAATTCAAAATGTCACAAGAAGTTAAATGCCTTCAATTTCAAAATACAAAAAAAAAAAGTAATCATAGTATCTAATCCTTATGTATGTATATAAAAATCTTATGTATAAAAAACTTTAAAATGTCTTAAGAAACATTTCCCTTTATCACAGTTAAATAGCAAGTTGGCCATTATTGAAAAATAAAAAGTAAAGCCACCAACATTGTGAGGCCCATGGCTTTGGAAGATGGCTTCTAAGTTTGCACCTGAAGATCTTATCTACCTGAGTCAAAGGATACACCAGGGCTGGATTTCTACCAGTGCTGAATCTCAGTGTGGTCTTGCACAAGTTGTTTAACCTCTCCAGAGCTCAATTCCACCGCCATTAGCACTTTCCAAACATGTGTTCCAAGGAATATTAATCTCATGAAAAAGAGTTCTGTGGTCAAATTAAGCAAGAAACTGCAGCACACACTTTCTCCTCTTTGGGAGATTCACAGTGCACATGAGCATTATGAATGACTCTGAGAGGTACATTAGTTTAACTTTATATCAATCTTAGCTGACCTCAGAATACCTTTACTGACCAACACTCGGTAGTATCCTGTGAGCTGTACTTTGGAAAACACTGGTCCAGCATGTCTCAGGTCTCTTTTAGGACTTATACTGATGAAATATAGGAAGAGTATTGCAGAGTCTTCTGACACAGGTTCAGGGGATTAAGAGCGGATTTAGGGCCCTGGTGTTGACAAAGCACCTGTTCACGCTTATTAGCCCCTTGAAGAACAATGCCATTCCCCTGTTCCTAATGAAAGCCTTCATTCAAGGAAGGTGGTAGTGGCTGTCACAGAATCTTGGTATCCACCTACAGTACAGTAAATAGCAGAACTCACCAAGAATGTTAAGTTATCTTCAAAATGGGTTAGTTTTCCTTTCCAGAATGACTTGTTTTTCTCCACAGCAAATGTTTTTGCCACTGTTCACTAGAACAGTTCTGCCTAACTTTAATAGAATCCCTACCCTTTGCCCACTTCCTTGTCCAGAATGAAGTCAACTTGAAGGTCGCATGTCAGGCAGTACTTGGGTTAAAGAGCTGCTCTTCCAAGAAGGCACCCCCAAGGCCATACTGCTCTTCATGCAGACTGATTTCTTCAGGTGACAAGTGGCTTCCTCCAAGAACAAAGTCTGCAAATCTAATAAGTTTTTTGTTTTAAATAAAGTTAATGTTATCTCAGGAAGGTTTATTTGAAAGATAACATGTTCCCTTGCTATTTATCCCCTTTAATTAAATTTGACTTTGCATCAATAGAGGGTGGTATTTACCCAGTGGGTGTAAAATGGGAATGGCTTATGTGATCCCTCTAAAGACAGCTATTCATGGAAAGGGCAGAGAAGCAGGGCAGATGTATAATCATTACGTGAGCCAAATGTACCCACTCCTGTTTTCTGATTCCTTCTTGTCTCAATTTTTTATTAGTTTGAATTTATTATTATTCATTATTTTGTGTCAAATGCTTTCCCCCTTCCATCTTTAATTTGAGGGCACTGTTATTTGGATAAAGTCATGAGGAAGAGAAAGCAATAAGGAAAAATGTTGGGACAGACGTCTTTCTTAGTGAACTTTAAAAATGATTTTCCAGCTGGGCGTGGTGGCTCACGCCTGTAATCTCAGCACTCTGGGAGGCCAAGGCAGATGGATCACAAGGTCAGGAGTTAAGAGACCAGCCTGACCAACATGGTGAAACCCCATCTCTACTGAAAATACAAAAATTAGCCGGGCATGGTGGCGTGCGCCTTGTAATCCCAGCTACTCAGAAGGCTGAGGCAGGAGAATGGCATGAACCCGGGAGGCGGAGGTTGCAGTGAGCTGAGATAGCACCATTGCACTCCAGCCTGGGCGAAAGAGCGAGACTCAGTCTAAAGAAAAAAACAAAACAAAACAAAAAAAAGATGATCCCCACCAATAGGATGAGAAGCAGGTCACTCATCCTATTCCACCTTCCCTTCCCTATAAACATAAGGAAGTTATGTTTTTAGCCTTCCCTATAAAACATCAGATAAATATTTATTCTGACATCAGCAGTTCTACTGTGCAAAGTCACAGCACTGAGAAAAGGGACCTCTGACAACTTCCACATCATCTGTTATCCAAGGAAGTAGTCTATTTTCACCCTGAAGTGCCTGTACCAAACCATCATATTATTTTTAAAATCATTCTCAACTAAACTATGGTCCGAGCAGCAGAGTAGGACTTACTTTCTAGGAGCGTGGAGTCTGGAGACCACCAGCCACGAGGGGAAGTCGGGTTTTCGGCAGGCCCGGCGCAGCTCCTCCAGAGCGCTGTTCGTTTCAGCATCAGCTTGCTCCCTATACTCGTCTTCTGTAAGATACTTCACCACCAGCTCTTTCGATGTAAACCACTGCTTTATTTTCCTAAAACGTGGCATGTGGTTGCAGGATTACTGCCTAATTCAATCCTTAAGATTTACAAAAATACATTTCTTAGATTGTAACAGTAATAATACTTCTTAACTTCCTCCATATCATATCTATATTTTTTTTATTGCTGTTATCATTACTGAGGTATAGAGAACATGCAGTTTGGGCCTAATAGTACATTTCCCCATTTCCTGAACTATCATAAATAATGTCCTAAGGCATTTGAGAATTAATTTCTGATACAGATGTTAATTGTATTTTTCTTCCTCGGTGATTTCTAATCACACAGGCAATTAAAAGCCTGTTTTTTTTTTTGTTTTTTTTTTTTAATGCTTGGCCTGTTTATTTTATTAGGCACCAATAGAAGCAAGCTTTTGAGATGTCCTTTTATGCAGACCCTCTAGAACATTGACCATTTACTCTCCACACCAAGAACCTGGGAGGATTTGTGGGATATCACTTCCACCTAGTGGTGGTGATTCTGACTAATCCTAGAGAGAAAGCGCAAATATTGTACAAAATTTATAGTAATTCTTCCTTTATTACATGACAAGCAGATCATGGGTAGAACTTTCTTTTTCCAACCAAGAAAATCCTAAATCTCATAAAATGTAGGGACCTAAAAATTTAGGAATCTAAGAATCTCATAAAAATAGTAACAATAATAAGGTTTTAAAAACTTTTATTTATTTATTTTATTTTATTTTTTTGAGACAGAGTCTCACTCTGTCACTCAGTCTGGAGTGCCATGGCGCAATCTAGGCTCACTGCAACCTCTGCCTCTGGGATTCGAGCAATTCTCCTGCCTCACCCTCCTGAGTAGCTGGGATTACAGATGCATGCCACCACACCCGGCTAATTTTTGTATTTTTTAGTAGAGACGGGGTTTCACCATGTTGGTTAGGCTGGTCTCAAACTCTTGACCTCATGATCCACCCACCTTGGCCTCCCAAAGTGCTGGGATTACAGGCGTGAGCCACCGTGCCCGGCCTAAAACATTTGTTTTATTTATAGTGAGTTTTAAAAAATATTTTGGGGTGATTTTAAATTTAACCTGAGATTTCCAAATATAAATGAACATCAGAATTATTTGAATATTATATTTATATAATATATATTTCTCTATATATATTTTTTTTTTCTTGAGGGTTGGGACTGAATAAATCTGTTATCTTTTAAAGATCTCACAGTTGATGAGCTAGATCAAGAAACCAGTGACATAATTTCCTTCTCCTTTTCTGAATACCTGTGCATGGTTTCCCTGGAGGAGAAACCCTGGATGCTGAGCCAGAAGACCTGGACACAGTCCTGGCTTTGAGGTTTATTTACTATACGAACTTGGGGAATTCCTTAACAGTTCAGAGCCTCACTTTGGTCATATGAAAAAAATAAAAATAAAAGCAATAATATCTACTTCGTCTACTTCATAGGTCACTGTACAGGTTAAATGAGATATTTTGTGTAGGGTGCTTAGCACTGTAAGTGGCCTACAGTGGGTGTTCAATAAGGATAATCAAAAGAGTAGTTACCATATACTATTAAAAGTAAACAGCTCTTTGCAACGAGAAAGTACTATACAAAATCAAGGTATTATTTCTCTGTTGTGTTATTTAACCTGTAAGTTCCTGTTTCATTCCCTAGTTCTTTATATAATTATTCACTAGCAAAATTTTAAGTTGAGGAAGTTATAGTACATTTTGATTATTATAGAACACAGCTAGTGCACAAAAGAACCATTGTGCAGAACACACTTTGCTCTTGGCAGGGAGTTGGAGGGTTAAAGAGAAGGAAGAAGGAACTTTATCCTGAGTTCCTAGGCCACAAGCCTGGCAAAGGGCCAGGGACCTGGAAGATGTTGGGGGGCCACCCTTACTGACAGAAGACTGGTGTTCCCATTCACTGTCTGCCTCGGGCAGATGGGGCAAAGAGAGACCCAGTCAGCATCAACCCTCCAACCCTGCCCTGCTGCCTTTCAGCCCCACCAGCATCTTCTGTGTGGGCTCCCTGTCTTGTCACTGGTGCAATTTTAACCCTGTGTTATTGCCACACACACACAGTCACCAGTTCCATAAACTACCAGCCACCATAGTGTCCTTCCTCACAGCCAATTTTACCTCTTGAACATGTATTCACTCCCTCTTCTAGCCTTGGTCTCATGGTCCTACCCTAGGCCCTCATCATCTCTCGCCTGGACCACTGTGATGTCTAATAACTGTTCTCCTGCCACAGGGACCTCCCCTTTGTATCCACCTGCTGTGCCAGAAGACAGATGGGCCACATCCCACCGGCCAATGAGTATTTATGGTCTCTGCTGTGATTTTTGTTTGTCCAATGTATTTCTATTTTTAATTATTTTTATTTTTAAATGCCAACATTTTAAAATGCTAAGATTTCACATTCTAATCGTAATTCCCACTTCCAATTCTTCTAGAAAACCAGCAGATCTGGCAATACAGGACTCATATTCCCACACGAGAGCAATCAGCTCAAGCTGAGTGGTAACTGCCCCGTTTTCAATGAGGTTGCTTTGCAGAATTTCCCACACTCCTCCTGGTTACTGCTGCCTTACCCCTGCTCAGCATCACTCACCATAGTATCTGCCTGGGTCCTAAGCAACTGGTTTGATAACTGCTATACAGGCAACAGTCAGAGGACTAACTAAAATGTCTCACAGTTAAACCCCACTGTGTACAGGACTGGACTAGATTGCTTAGCGTGGCTGCCATGCATCTGGCCCATGCCCACCTTGTTTGCTGCACTGACAACACTGCGTGCCTCCTGATGGTACCAAACTGGGCTTTCTATCAGGAAAGCCCTCCGTGTTTATTCATCTGGTTATTTTAATTCATTCTTTAAGATTCAGCATAGTAATATCTCCTCCAGGAAAGCTCTCCTGGCTTTCTCTATATACCCTTGGTCCCTGGGCAAGTCTCTATTTTAATACTTAAAAGAGATAGAAATGTATGCTGATGTCTAGCAAGTATACCTCAAGGGCAAGAACCATCCCCATCTGTGCACCTGACGTGAAAACATCTGCTCAGACTCAATGACTGAGGAGAAACATAATAAAGCTGTGACAACAGAGGTTACTTCATTTTTCTTTTTATACTTCAAAGGCCGTAAGCCTTAACTTAAAACCTAAGAGAAAAGAAAGTTCTAAATGCAAATAATACCTTTCAATCATTTATGATTCATTTCTGTTTCCTAATTCGTATCTCATAAGGACAGCTGATACCACTAAAGTAGTCTTTGGCTCTAATTAAAGAAAATGTTGAATAAAAGAAGATATTTAAGGTAACCCAGAGTCCAGGTACTTCTGCCACTGACTCTAGTGAATTCTGAGTGAGCTCTAATTACCTGGTAATTGGTGGTACAGCTCTGAACGATTAATGAAGACTAGCCATGAAGATAGGATCAGACGCTTGGAGCTCTCTTCCCCCTCCACCCCCAATCTTGCTCAGAATGAAATCTCCAGATGAAATGTAATTATGAGATTAACATGATGTGTGCAAAAACTCTCCCAAATAATAAAACTAGAGCTCAAAATGTCAAATTTGCTGGGGGAAAAAATAATACATACCACCTCATATAACTGAAGGCTCTCAGTGGGTAGTGCAGACTCCAGGAGGACATGAGGAGGATTATGGCTGCATAGGCAAACTGAGGCACGGCCACACCAGCATAGACCAGAACCAGGGAGAGGAGTCGTAGTGTCCACATCAGAAGACTTCTGCTCCTGTCATCTGCAAGGGGCCCATGCTTGTAACAAACAACAAAGCTGAAAAATCCAACTATCAAGACATAGCCTGGAAAAGTGGAAGAGGTAAAATAATACAAATTTGAATTTGAGACATTATGTGAAAAAGCTGGCAGAGCCTTGACTTAAAGGTAAAAACTATTAGAGAACCTTATTTTTGGTTTTTTTTCCCCACAAAGTAAGGTTGAAAAATGTACATAGGGTGTTATTCCTTCCATATGAGATACTAGGGTGACTTTCGCAATACTTTGGGATGTACACTCATTATGATGATGATATATAAGTATGTCTGTATTTTAGTCCAGCACCTTCGCTGGATTAAAATGTTATCATGGTTACTTTGGCCAGGAAGAAGTCATAGTTGTATGTGACCACTGGCTACAAACCCTATTTTTTATTTTTACCTTCTAGTCATAAAAGGAAAAGGTAATTTTACAGTGGAGGGAGTCATCCTCTGAATCCAAATGTTCAGTCTCATCATTACGATGGTGAGACTATAAGCTATGCTGTGTCTCTGGGTATGATCCAAGGTGAAGTGCCCATCACCTCTTAGGTATTCTATCTTAAGTGTTTAATTTATATCTAACCAAGCCTTGAGGTCTAATTTCCAGTTTACAGAAAATACGCAGAAGAGAAGAACATGTTAAATTCTACCATAAAGGGGTCATCAGATAAATATAAAAGGTAGACATTCTATAGGACAAGCTTGGTCTCTTTAGCATATCACTATGATGAAAAAAAAAAAACTGCTATGGATTAAAAGCAATTTACAGGACAAAACAGATACTAAATGTGGTTCTGGACCATATCCTAGTTTATATAAGCCATCAAGAATGGGAAATTTTATCATGGCCTGGGTAATAGATGATTTTATGTAATTATTTTTCAGATAATAATTAACAGATTATATAGGAAAAGGCTCTTGTTTTTTAGAGATGAATAGTGCAGTATTCAGGGGAGCATACCATGATATCTGTAATTTAAAAGAAGCACAAAAAGAAGAATGAGCTAAAAAATACACAGTTTTCAAGTAAAACAAAAAACTTAATTGCTTTTCTTTTGAGGGAAGTGAACTTATGTGAGAAATTTGGTGCTAAAGGTACGGAGAAAATGCATTCTCTCATTGTCCATTATTTTCTCGTTAAAATAAACAATAAAAACATTTATTTTGTAACGAAAAACAAGGAAAATAAATGGTTTCTTAGCCTCTCTGTTTCTGAAAAGTCAAGTTTTCATTAGTCATTTATATTTAGGATTTCTCACCTTTCCTACTGAATACTTGAGAGAAAGAAATAAACAGTCGCTTTTCAGAGAAGCTTTTACATTACAAGTTAGATGTGGTTAGAGCTTAACCACAATTCAGAAGCATGTGCATTCAAAAGGGACAAACACTTTTTTTTCCTCTTTTGATCATTACTATAGAAAACTAAGAAACATGTCATAGGGAAATCATCTAAAATGAGATCTAAATGAACTGAAATCACCAACAATGGGAATAAAATAAACAAAATATTATTTTTAGTAGCACCTTTCCTTAGTTCAAAATGAAAATTTAGATGTTGGAGAGAAACATCTATCAAAAGAAGGCCTCTAGTTGTACATCTCAGTTTTACCAATCACAGAGCGTATTGCTTTTCTATTTACCTACCTAATACATATATCCTGTTTTCATACCACAGCCACTTCAGATCTTCCATCAACTGGCACACAACATAAACTGAAGCAAACCAACAACCAACCATTAGAGCCCAAAAGGTGCTATACTGTGTGTGGAAGAAAATAAATGACACATTTTTTTGTTCATTCACTCTCATAAAAATAAAAGCAAACAAATAAACCTTTTGTATTAGAAACTCCTACATCAAACTGAATTGAAGTCAATTTAAGAAACTCCCTAGGGTCTTAAGGTGTGGTCCACAAGTCAGCAACACCAGCATCACATGGAGCTTGCTGGGTTGACAGAGTCCTAGGCCCCACCGCAGACTGCTGAATCAGAACCTGCATTTCAACAAGATTCCCACGTGGCTTGCATGTACACTGAAGTTGGAGAAGCACTGTTATAAAGAATAAATTTATCTCAAAATAATGCTGGTGTTGTAAACTTTAATCAGTGTAACTGCAACACCACCATCCTGAATTATTTATTTATCCCCAACTAAGTTCAGTGTGTTATTTTATTGAAGGTCTGGCTGGGCACGGTGGCTCACGCCTGTAATTGCAGCACTTTGGGAGGCCAAGGCAGGCAGATCGCCAGAGCTCAGCAGTTCAATACCAGCCTGGGCAACATGGTGAAACCCTGTCTCTACAAAAAATACAAAAATTAGCTGGGCATGGTGGTGTGTGCCTGTAGTCCCAGCTACTTGGCAGGCTGAGGTGGGAGGCAGAGGCTACAGTGAGCCAAGATCATGCCACTAAACTCCAGCCTGGGCAACACAGCAAGACTGTCTCAAAAAAAAAAAAAATAAACAAATAAAAATAAAGGAAGATGGTGGATTGGGGAACTAATAATAATAAAGAAATTCCCAGATGTAGCAGTGCTGTTATTCAAGGCCCTAATGGTTCAGCATCATGAGATTCCCAGCTCTATAAAGATAATAGAAATTTTCACTCAATATAGAAATAGCTTCCTATTACTCAAGAAAAACACATTACCTAGAAAGCAAAATGGTCTCAAAAAAAGTAGCACCAAAACTTAATACTACATATAGTAATCAATAAAATCAGGAACATCAGAAAAAGATACATTTTAGAGCCAGTTTTCATAATGAAGAAACATAGTTTAAATTAGAGCCTATCATAATGTGAATTAATTTTGATTAATTTTTCATGTCTGTAAGATCATGATTTCCATTTTTTACTCATTTACACATAGTGTGCCTACCTTCGGAATGAATCGTTTCACCAACAGCAAGACAAAGACTAATGTCATTAGAACACCTAGCACAGTTCCCGAAGAGTAATAGAAAGTAGGGCTTCTGTCAAGATAAGCAGATACAAGCCATTTAAATGCCAAACAGCACTTTGAGTATGAAAAGCATGTTTAACCTGGCAATGTCGGTCATAAATAATACTAAGAACAAAAAACTCAGATGGCAGCTCTCCTTATATCCTATACTCTTAAAAAACAAAATGGGTACTTGAAATTCATGGTAAGTTGCTTGCCACTAATGCAAACCAGAATGTCTGAGTTATTTTTCATATTCAGGATCTGATCAGACAATAATTACTAAATACCTATCATGTAGCAGGCACTTGTCCAGGTTTTAGAAAGGAGAAAATTAAGGCACCAAGAAGTTAAAAAATCTTCCCTAAGTCAGTATCTGCTCACCGGAGGATTAGGGATTACAACCCAGCTCCTCGGAGTCCAGGCTTTGTTCTGCATGCTATGTATTCATCATCTGGCTTATAAAGTTCATGGATGACATTAAACACACTTGGTAACACTATAAGGAAAAGCTTCAAAATGAACAATGTTAAGAACAGCTGATGAGTATTGGGTACTAACCTAGAATCCACAAGCTAAGAATAAAATATTGAAAAAAGATTTCTTTCTCATGAGAGAATTCCAAGAAACAAAACATCAGAATAATATGTTTCTCAGATGAGAATATGTCATTAACAAAAAAGAAAATGATAATACGTTTCTCTAAGAGTCAGATATTTGCTATATTCAGCCTTCTGTATCAGGGCCATAAATCTAGGAGGCGGCTCTAATGTAATAGAGCAAGGTGTGTGGACCAGAAAACGAGGGAACAAATCTCCAGCCCTGATAAGAACTAATAGTGTGATGAAGGATGTTGCTTTTCTCATCTATAAAATGAGAACAATAATACAGAGCTTGCATAGTTATTATCAGAATCTAATAAAATATGTTAATACATAAAATATGTGAAAGCACTTTGTAACATATACATATCACGCTATACAAATAACTGTTACTGTTTTCAAAGGCCTTTTCAACACCATCTTCAGACCTATTTGCATAACCTAAAGTATGCACTACAAATGCACAATAATGTGAAAATACTTAGCATGTGGTCAAAAATGATCTAAACCTTTTCATTCACAAAGTTAAAAATATAAAAAGGAATACTTACTGACTCAGGGTCTCTGCATAAAAGGAAAGAAAAACTCCTGCCACAAACACAAGGAAGAGTTTGAAATCCATGACTGGAGTAAAAAAGACACACAAACACATAACAAAAAGATTTTTTATCAATGTAATGTTGGTAAAAGAAAAAAAGTCAATTTATTGAAAAGTTACTCCAGAAAAACTGAATCCAGAAAGTCAAGTATAATAAAATTGGACTTACTGTTTCGATTCACATGTATCATATAGTTAAATATCTTCCTGACAGGCTCCACAGAGAAGCACACAGTCTCTCCATATGGATTGATGATTATGGTTATTTCATTAGATTCTTTTGGTATCCAAAAGTTATGAATCACACATTTGATAAAAGATAAAATGGTTTCTGGATATTGGCAATTATGTCTTTCTGTGATGTATACAATTCTGAACAGGCCTGAACTGGTAATTTTCACCTGTAAAACAAGAACAAACAAATCCATAAACAGAATAACTTCTCTTTGTTGTTGTTTTGGAGATAGGGTCTCTCTCTGTTGCCCAGAATGGAGTGCAATGGCAGGATCTCCGCTCGCCGCAACCTGCACCTGTAGACCAGCCTGGGCAACATGGCGAAAACCCACCTCAGCCTCCCAAGTAGCTGGGACCAGAGGCACATGCCACCTGCCCAGCTAATTTCTGTATTTTTTATAGAGATGGGTTTTCGCCATGTTGCCCAGGCTGGTCTCGAACTCCTAGGCTCAAGCTATTTGCCTGCTTCAGCCTCCCAAAGTGCTGGGATTACAGGCGTGAGCCACTGCGTCCAGCCAAAACTTCTTATAAGCTTCTTAAAAACATGAGCAAAGGAGTAAAGAGAACTCAAGGTCAGCTGAGTAAAGAATACTCAAGGGCTAAGGGTAGCGTTCTATGTTCTGATCCCAGAGGTAGAATCAACAGATTTGTATTTAGTCCAAACACACACTGAACCACAGACATTATTGAAAGTGAATGCTTCTCCCCACAAGCTGTGGCTGATTTAAGTCCCTCTTCTAGCAAGTTATTGCGGCCAAGAGACATTAAAAAGGATGAGAAGAATGTACAGGCATACCCATTTTATTGTTTTACTACACTGTGCTTTGCAGATAGTGCATTTCTTACAAATGAAAGGTTTGTGGCAACTCTGTCGGGCAAGTCTACTGGCACCATTTTTTCAACAGCATGTGCTCACTTCATGTCTTTGTGTCAGCATGTTTCAGCAATAAAGTGTTTCTTAAATTAAGGTATGTAGGGGTTTTTTTAAAAGATATAATGCTATTGCACCCTTAACAGACTAACAGTATAGTGTAAACATAACTTTTATAGGTACTAGGAAACCAAAAAATTTGTGTGACTTGCTTTATGGGGTATTTGTTTTATTGCAGTGTTCTGGAACCAAACTCACAGTCACATTATCTCTGAAGTATGCCTGTGATCGGTGGCAAAATATGTGAGTAGGCATGGTTTGAAAATAGGGTTTATATCTACACCATTTTCTACTGTGATTAAGAAAAAGCACTTCCTTTCTCTGGATCAGCTGAGCATCTGTAATTCATGCTTCTCTCACCATGCCTACTGAAGGACAAGATCCCAACCTCAGGTCCTATTCACATCATACAACAAAGCACTGGCTACAAGCCAATGGTGACAACCCAGTGGTCATTAAATGACAATTTTGCTGCTGCCTTTGTCCATTCTTCTCTCTATTCTTCTTCTTTTTCTAAGAGTAGGGCAACCTGAAAGGGAGTAAGAGCACCAGCTCTGAATCTCAGTTATCAGGCAATATCACCCACTAGCTATCTACCAACCCCCACATTTCTCTTTGACTTCGGCTCCTGGCTCCTGGCTCACTGTTGCTCTCTCTCCAATACTATTTCCTGTCATTCTTCTTAGGTATTTCAGTGTATACAATATACACACCAATCCTTCCAATATCCTGGCCTCTCAGTTCCAGGGATTCCTTTCCTCTTATGCTCTTGTCCTCCCTACCTCAGCTCATCACTCCATGGCCATACCCCAGACCTTGTCAGTACCAGACTGCAGCCCCTCCATACATCTTGTTTCATGCATCTCACTGTGTGACCACCATCTCCTATCTTTCCAGTGTACCCATCTAGTGCCCCAACCCCACCAAGGATCTGAACATCCTTCTCTTCTCCTGCTCCTTACCCTCTTAATATCCTCAATCTCTTTTTAGCCAGCTAAACTCTATGATCAATTATTACACACCATTCCCTGGCACATACCCTTGACTCCTTTGCACCCCTCTTGCTTTGTCATGCTCACTTACAAAATTCAACTCTCCACCATTCTACTCCTGCATTTGCATCACCAGTGTGCTGGAGAAATGCACACTGGTCTCACTTCAAATCCATGACTGTGAACTCAGAGAGGGACATGAAAGCTGCAGTCATTCATACCACATATTACTATTCATTCATTCTTCTACCCTCTGCAATAAAGGATTTCACAACTTCTTCCTCAATACTCAACAACTCCTCCCCATCCTCTTCTCAGCTGTTGATCCTTCCTACTTCACTGAAAATGGAAGAAATCAGAAGTGAATGTCCACCAGCTCCTATCTGCAAAGTCCCCTACCTGTCAGCACCTGCAGGCACATGCTCCGCTTCCTGCCTGTGGGGAGGAAATTTCTTCCAGAGGAAATTTGCAGGCTCCATAAAGGCAAGTCCCGACTTGGGCATGGGATCCTATCCACGTTTGCCTACTCAAGGACATCCCAGCAGCACTTCTTCCCTCTCTACGAGATCATTTCTCTCAGCATACATTTAAAAAAGAAAAAACAACCTTCTGTGGACTCCACTTTTCCCTCCAGCTACCACCCATTTCTTTGCTTCTTGTTGCAATAAAATTTCTTTAAAAAGCTGCCTGTGCCTGCAGTCTCTAGTTCCTCTCCTTCCATTCTCACTTCAATCAGGATTTCATTCCCAAAAAGCTGCCCTGACAAGGTCACTGGTGCTTCCATGTTGCTAACTGAAATGCCCAATTAATTCTCAGTCATCTTATTTGACCTATCAACAGCACTTGGCACTGCTGGTTATTCCTTCCTCCTCATTACACTTCTCCCCAGGGCTTCCAGGACATCTCCTTCTTCACTGTCGCTCCTTGTGTTTCTCCTCTGCTGGCTCCTTCCTTCTCCCTGAACTCTTAATATAAGACTGACCCAGGCTTAGCCACTGGTCCTCTTCTCTTCTCCATCTAAACTCACTCGATTTCATGGCTTTAGACACCATCTATATAAATATGCACCGCTAATTACTTTTGCAAAAAAAAGACACAGGAAAGATATACCAGAAACTCCTTAAACTGATTGTCTACAAGGGTTGGATAGGAATTAATAGAGGGAGGAGGGAAAGTGACACTTCTCTGAAAATACCTTTGTATAGAGTTTTAACTTTTAAGCCGTATTAATGTTGTAGATACTCATAAATAATGATAATAACACAGACATAAAGATGAAAACAACAGACAACTGAGGACTTCAAAAGGTGGTTGGGAGGGAGAGGAGCAAGGGTTGAAAAATCTACTGATTGGGTACTATGGTCACTATTTAGGGGATGGGTTCAGTAGAGCCCAAACCCCAGCATTACACAATATATCCAGGTGACAAACCTGTACATGTACCCCCAAATCTAAAAAATTAAAAATTAAAAAGGTTTTTTAAAAAATTAAAAACAAAATATCATTTAAAAAACCCACTATGATCTTTTCTGAGAATAAAAAGGTAAACAAAACTTGTAAACCAAAAATAAAATTCTAACACCCCCTACCCTGCCAACCATCTGAATGAAACCCTCTTCTCAGCCAGGGCACTCCAAAGTTAACCTGAAAAATTGGTTCAGGCTATGCCAGGAAGCAGGGGTTGGACATGCCTCATTATGCCCTCCTCCATTTTGGAATTCAGGAAAAACCAACCAGTATTTAATATCAATACAGACCTTAAGTCTGATAAGAAGCACTTATAATCTATTCTCTCTGAAGCCTGCTACCTGGAGGCTTCATCTCCACGATAAAACTTTGGTCTCCACAATTACTTATGATAACCCAGACATTCCTTTCTATTGATAATAACTCTTTCAACCAATTGCCAATCAGAAAATTTTTATCTACCTATAACCTGGAACACTGCATCCCTCTCTGCTTCCAGTTGTCCCACCTTTCTGGACCTAACTAATGTCTACCTTAAATGTATTTGATTAATGTCTCATGTCTCCCTAAAATGTGTAAAACCAAGCTGTGCCCTGACCATCTTGGGCACATGTTCTCAGAATCTGAGGGTTGTGTCACAGGCCACTGGTCACTCATATTTGGCTCAGAATAAATCTCTTCAAATATTTTATAGAGTGACTTTTTGTCAACAAACTAAAAAAATAAAAATAAAAATGATAAAATTGACCAGGATGGGTGAAAACCCTGAAATTGAAACAAATAAAAACAAACTATATTTTGAATGAATAGTATAACCATACTGAAGTGGGAGTGGACTGGGATGAATTAACCTAAAATACACAACCTCAGAAAAAGATTTAAAAAAAAAACGCTATAAATAAATATTGAACTCCTGTTATTAGGTTTGTGTTTTGCAATGGTGTGACTTTGCAATTCTGAAACTACTTTTAGTGTATTCTGGGATTAGGCAAATAAATAAATATATTTGAGGAAACGGGAATCAAGTTTCTCATTATCAGAGAAGGGAATTACAAATACGAAAACTGGAAAACTAGCATGAATCCTGTGATATTGGAGATCTCAGAACTCACAGTTTCTAATAGGTAGATACAGATGTATGTGCAGGTGTATGGGTGTGTATGTGTGTGTACACACATGACGATATGCAATGAACACACCTCATGTTGACTGTTCCTTGGAAAAAATGTATGATTCCAGAGCTGAGTCTATGATATTACACAAGTCTAGAACATCTTGTTTGTTAGAAAGTAAAGCAGTGCTCAAAAATGCTAGGCACGTGGCAGAAGGACACAGGAGCTAGTTGAAGGGGCTCTGACTGGTTAAATCCAGGACAATTTGAGTATCAAAATAAATAATGAGAGTAATGGATTGTAGTTTCCGGAAATAATTGGCAATGTGTGAGACTACATGGATATAAATAAATGGGAGGAGGAAAATCTCTTCCTTATAGTAGAATGCCAATGAATGTAAATGGAATAATGATGTCAGGCACAGCGGCTTGCGCCTATAATCCCAGCACTCTGGGACGCTGAGGCAGGCAGATTGCTTGAGTCCAGCAGTTCAGTAGACTCATGGGCAACATGGCAAAACCCCGTCTCTACTAAAACTACAAAAAAAAAAAAAAAAGGCCAGGTGTGGCAGTGCACACCTTTCAAGTAGTCCCAGCTACCTGAAAGGCTGAGGTGGGAGAATCACCTGAGCCCGGGAGGTTGAGGCTGCAGTGAACCAAGATCGCACCAATGCACTTCAGTTTGGGCAACTGGAGTGAGTCCCAGTCTCAAAAAAAAAAAAAAAAAAAAAAAGAATGGATATAGAAAAATCAACATTTGATAAACATCATCATGATTATTGATTCAGTAAAGCATCATCAATGAATGATAAACTAAGGGAAGAAAGTTTGATGAGGAAGAGGTTATCTACACAGTCTCAAATTATCACCTCAAAATATTCATTAAAGGGAAGAAAATACTAATTTTAGTGGAAGAACCTGACAAACACTACCTTAACCATGTGATCAAAGTAGTGCATATTATCAGCAATGGCATCAATCGACATCAAATGCTTGCTGATACAATGTTCCAGCTATTCTCTCAGCCTTGAACACCCTTCCCCCCAGTACCTTCTTGGGTAACTCACTCCACTGAAATCTTTCTCAAATGTTACCTTCTCAATGAGAACTACCCTGGCCAATTTGCTCCCACTTCTCTCATCCCATTGATATTACTCTACATTTTCTTTTTTCATAGTACTTACTAGTTTTACCATTTTAATCTCTATTACATTTATTGTTTACTATTCCCCACCCTAGATAATGTAAATATCCACAATGGCAGGGATCTATTTTGTTCATTGATGTATCCTAGGAGCCCAGAAATAGTTCCTGGCACTTAATATGTACTCAATAAATATTTGTTAAATGCTGAATGAAAGAAAGTACTAGGCAATTGAGAGCAACTGCTATCTTGGCCATATTTGGGATTAGTGGTTATTCCAGAATTTCTATTTGGAGGGGCTTTGGATAGCAATTTTGGAAAGTAGGAGGAACATGTTGTCTTTAGACTGCCTGAACAGCAGATATGCTGCATACATTTACATAGTATATTCATTGGGAGTGGCTTGGGAGGGGCTGAGGGAGAGTATGAAGGAGTTAGTGTCCTCTTCTCACACTGCTCACCCATTGAACCACTGTGTGTGATCCTCAAGTCAGCTCTCATAGTGATACACAGACCTGTGTCATACCAAAAATACTTTCTATTCCTGAAATGGTACATTTCCTGTCCCTAGAACATGGTAATTCTCTGTCCCTAAGACATGACTTAAAAGTAGGCCCTTACCTGCATAGTCGACCATATGTATTTCCACTCCACTTGGGAATTTTGATTGTAGCAGTAACAGTCTGACTCAGACGTTCTAATTAAATCTTTTTCCTTCAAAGCTTTACACCTACGAACTGAGAGATGGAAAATGGAATACATTTTCTAACTGTTTAATTGCCAAGAATCTTCTTTTAAAAAAAGTTTTCAGGGAGGTAACAGTAGCAGTTTTAACGTTCTATGACCAATAAATTCTCCTATATAATTATAGTCCTTCAGTCTTTCCAACAAAGGAGGAGACAGACAGAAAATACTATAGCTCAATATTTATGACATTGGAGGGCACTATAAGAGCACAGAGAACAAATACTTCTTCAATTCTGAAGCAGAAGACAGAATTATGGGCACTTTCCCAGAAAAGACAAAAATATGAGTAAAGGGCTGAAGGGCGAGGTAGAGGCAATAAGACAAAAATTAGGAGGTGGGAGTGGGGGTGGACAGGACCAGCAAGTGTGTACAGAATCATGAAGATGAGATAAATTATGGAATTAATTCAGTTTAGAGATATTGGATTTTTATATTGGTGAGGGAGCATGGATAGAAGGTACAGGGATACAAGAAGACATTTGAACACCTGTAGCTGGAGTGGTAAACCATGACTACTACTATACCATGTGGACTCCATCTTGAAAGCAGAGCACTGGAGGATTTTAGATAAGTATCAGTCTCAGCAAGAAACCACTGACACTCAAAAGGATTTAACTGAAAATAGTTCAGTAAAGATATGGACAGGCTTAAGGCACTAATAATAAGGCACTATGAAGTTCTCAGGCACCAACAACAGCAGGAAGCTTTCAGCAGCCCAAGTTCCAAAATGGCAAGGAGGATCCCATGTTACTAGAGTCACTGGAACTAGGAGGACAGTAGTCTAAAGGAATGCAGTCACTGCCAGGACTCCCGTGGAATGCAGGGTGAAGGTATGGGTACCTCAACCTGTCTCTCCCGCTGTCCCCTCAGTGCCCTGAATCAGCCAAACCCAACAGGAAGACAGACAGCAAAGAAGCCCATATAATGCAGTCCATAGAGGTTAGCTTCCAGGCACCAAGCGGAGAAAAGAAGGACTGAGAATAGACCTACAGCAACAAACAGGGAATACCAGCTCAATCAGGAAGTGACAGAAATGCATTTGTATTTTAGAAAGAACATTCTGTAGGTAGTGTGCAATATTAAAGAAGAGACTGAAAGCAGAAGAACCACTAAGGAGGCCACTGAAGCAATCTAAACAAGAAATGGACTAAGAGAGGTGGGAGAAATAACAGATTAGGAAATGAAATCAACAGGCTTTACAGATTCATTTTATCAAGGAAAACAAGAAGATGATGTAAAGGTTTCTGGTAAGTGGAGAGATAGTGAGGCCCTTTACTCAGACAAGAAATACTAGAGAAAAAGCAAGTTTGTACAGGGAAGTGGTGGTGAGTTCAATTTTGGATATACTGAGTTTTCATTGGTGGGATTCTGTGAAGATGGACAGATCTTCACATCTCCAGTGAGGAGAAATTTGGCTGAAGACAGATGTAGATACCTAAATATATATGTATGTTATATATAATATATAATATAATACAACTCAACTGAGAGAAAGAGAGATATATATTAACCCTCTGTGTTACAGAGGGTTAATGTAAATGCCACAAGAAAACTAGAAAGTAATGATGTTCATTTTCTTCTGCGGCCGTTGCTGTATTTGGATTTGAAATGAAGTGAAATGAAAGTCGTAAGTTCTTCTGGATTCAAGATAGAGTGTCACCTCCACATCTGTCCAACAGGAAACAGGAACAAGGAACACTTATGGGTACACACAGAAATGGGTTTTACACCCAACCCCTGACTCCTTTAAGGAGAGTGTGGTCAGTTGTTTCTCCTGAAAAACCTGAAATGAAGCTAGAACAACTTGCTACACCAAAGTTGGGGAAGGACTAAGTAACCAGTAACAACTAGTAAACAATCACATCCATGTAGGGAATAACACTGAATATGCTCAGAGAAGTCCCTGGTCCTGGCCTGAAATATCCTTAGCATTAAGTTGGAGAAAAGTGAAGACAGACTTGGGAAAGGATCCTGGGAATGCTCGCCATCTCCCAAAACACAACTCCATAAAAGGGAGGGTTCTCCAGTGGCCACACGAAGCAGCAAAACTACACAAGGACCCAGTGTATTCAACTGTGACAGTCAAATCATCTTTACTCTTCACATTATGATGAAATGCATATGTTTCTAAATATATCAAAAAATTTGCAGAGTTTGAGAGTCCAAGATGCAAATACAAGAATCCAGGTTAACCACAAGAAGGAACCTCCAGAGCAAGGGTCCCCAACCCTGGGGCCAAGGACCAAGACCACTCCATGGTCTGTTAGGAACAGGGCTGCAGGAGGTGAGTGGTGGGCGAGGCGAGTGATCACTGCCACCTGAGCTCCACCTCCTGTCAGATCAGCAGTGGCATGAGATTCTCACAGCAGCATGAACCCTACAGTGAACTGCACATGCTACGGATCTAGGCTGCATGCTTGTTATGAGAATCTAATGCCTGATGATCTGGGGTGGAACAGTTTCATCCCCACACCACCCCCTACCCTACTCCTATCCCGTGGAAAAATTGTCTTCCACGAAACTGGTCCCTGTTGCTAAAAGGTTGAAGACTGCTGTTCTAGAGGCTCTCTGTTAAACACAGGATACTAAAAATGAAAAATGTGCTCTTGCATGCTGTTTCCATGCACAAGAGCCAAAAGGAGAATTCACAACCAAGGCTATGAGCACACAAAGCAACCAATGCTGAGGCACATTTTTTGATATATCTGAGAGGCAAATGACTTCTGGCCAAGGGCAGCATAGGGGGAGGTGCAGTCCCAGGGATATCAAAGGGCTGGCAGCTACCTATAAAAAATATGAATGTCAAGGAATGTAGTATATAACCTGGAAGACCCTGAGCAACTGCAATGAGAAGGCATGAGAACACATTAAATGCTCCCAGCTAGTGAGCAGCAGAGGTGGGGGGAGCAGGTCTCTGGATTCACCTTACCATGTTCTGCCTTTGCACAGCCTCCCGGGGGGGGGTCTCTGAGCACGGCTAGAGTTGAGAACTTTATACTGGGAGTCCTCAAATAAAAGGGATTCCTACCCATCATTGGAAAGGGAGTGCATTCCAGCAGGGCAGGTGAAGAGCATGAAGTCTCAGGGACACAGAAGCAGCAGCCCAAACTACGATAGGAATGTTTACTTCCAGACAGGTCTTTCTTTACCACCCATGTGCTCGATGCTAGAGGGGCTTTTCTTGTGGGTGCCTCCAAGGGCCCCTCACTGCAATTCTTCTCCTAAAGAGTGCTGCTACTTCAAGGGCTAAATCAGCTCCCACAGAACAGTTCACTTTTGTTAATGGTCTGAGGAAACAGCCTTTTGGTGGGGCCTGAGTTTTGCAATCAAATGCTCTCTTAAAATAAGGTTCTTTCCACTTGGTCCTAAGACTGTCTCCTAAATCATTCCAAATCTGGAGCTCTTAAGAGCAAGATGGTGCAATTTAAGTATATTGTATACTGCGGTTTCAACACAGGAGTAAATGCTTCTCTCTTACCCAAGCCACATTCCTCTTGCACTAGGATGATTGTAATAGCCTTCTATCCAGCTGGTCTCCCTGCTTCCAGAATTGACCCCCACCACCACATTTTCCTCTACAACCTACTCTTCAATTAGCAAATAGATCTTTTTAAAAACATGAATGGGGCCCAGGTACATTGGCTCATGCCTGTAATCTCGTTTGAATGTGGGAGGCAAGGCTGCAGTGAGCTGAAATCGCGCCACTGCACTCCAGCTTGGGCGACTGAGTGAGACCCTGTCTCAAAAAAAAAGCAACAAAACCAAAAACAAACAAACAAGCAAACAAAAACACGAATGGGAACACATCATTTATCTGCTTAAAACCCTCCAATGGCTTTCCTTTACACCATTAATAAAATCCCCTTCCCTTCCAGGGACCTGAGTGCCTCTATGACCTTCCCTCCTCCACTTTCCCTCCCAGCCCGGCTGCTCCAGCCACACCTGGCCCTCCTGTCCTCAAGATGCCAGCCAACCCCCAGTAAAGTTTCCTCAGTCTGCAACCTTCTTCTCCCAGATCTTGGCAGAGCTCATGCCTTCCAACCACTGATGTATTCTATCAAATGCTACCTTCTCATAAAGGCCTTCTTTGACCCCACTATCTAAACAAACACACCCCAACCACTTCCACCCGCTTTCTTCTTTCTTCGTATTACATATGTATTTATTAGCTTATACTCTGTCTCTCCACAAAGTCAGGGACATTGCATGTTTATTACTGTAACCCCCAGAACTTAAATATTTGTCTTTTGTGTGTATCTTGTGGTTCGAGAGGACTACTGGGTTATTTGGGCATATGTGGCCTACCAATGGAAGTCCAGCCAATCTTTGTAAGAGCCTGGTCAGGGCTAGTCAGCACCATAAAAGGACGTGCACTCTGGCCCCTCCCTTGGAACCACCTGACGTAGTAGGATGCCCTTGCCAGTCTGTGCCATTGCCATCCCATCTACAGAACCCACAAAGCATGAGGGCCAGTCTGGAAGACACAGACTGAACTTCCCCCTTACCCTACCCCATGGTCAATACATCCATAGCTAGAGGGTTGAGTACTGTAACCCTTAACATCCTCTGGGCTAGGGACCACCTTCTTGTCCCTCACTGGATAGAGGAGGGCAGAAAGAATAGGTGGGATTAAGCTTCTTTTATTTGACTCATATATGATACATCAGTGTATTCTGTGTAAGGGATCTGCCAGTTAGAAGAAAATAACTTGCTCTGTATTTCCCCTCAGTCTTCAACCAGATTAAAGACAGCATAGAAGGAAGGACGTCGTCCTGACTGTTCATACCTATAGACACGCTAGTAAAAGCATGTTGCAAACAGTGTTTTCCCTCGAATTCTCCAGAGTGGCCTCTGGCTTTTGAGGTGAAGCTGATGTGGAATTTACACAATCCATGAGATTTTGCAGACAAGGTGGCAGTGCTTCATCATGTCCTCTGGCTGCCCTTTTTTCTTATCACCTCTCTCCCGAGGTGAATGAGTCTCAACCCACATAGGAATTCCTAAATATGTAAGGGACCAGAAATTCAGCCATAAGAAGCCACAAGCCTAGCTTCAAGTCAGTTCATTAAGCCATGGGCTAATTGGACTAGGCAAAAGACAGTGATTGTCACAAGACTGTTATCACAGCTGGCCCATCTCCTTCCCAGAGAGAACAGATCTTCCAATCTTTGATTATAAAGGCTTTCTTAGGTCTCTCCTCCCTTTAGCAATCTTCTTCTAGAGCCACTTCAATTCTCAGTTTCAATCATGTCCAGCAGAAATAGGAAACAGAGTCAGTTTGACTGCTTATTTGAACTCTATCGCTGAGTACGCCCTGACTGAAGGCTATGAAGCTGCCTGCATGTCTGCGGGTTTCATTTATTCATGAGGCCCCAGTTATTGCTGGTTAATTCTACTAGGATAGAACCTGCTGGTAGCAGATGTAGGCAAACTCAAATGTATCAAAACAACAACAGGCCGGGCGCTGTGGCTCATGCCTGTAATCTCAGCACTTTGGGAGGCCAAGGCAGGTGGATCACTTGAGCCCAGGAATTTGAGATCAGCCTGGGCAACATGGTGAAACCCTGTCTTTACCAAAAACGCAAAAATTGGCCAGTCTCATAATCCAATCTCAAAAATAAGTAAATATACATTTAAAAATTAGAACAAAAACAACAATCCCCTTACAACACAATCCAGGAAATGAAACAGATTTTCTAAGAATTTTTAAAAATCTAACAATAATCATTCATTTGGTCAAAAGGGAACAATACCTGCCTAGGGAAAGCTACTGCTTCTACTTGAGGCTGAGGTATTTAATATATCCGTACCCTGGAAGGTGCTCCATAACCTAGGTAATCACTTCCTCAAGCCTGAATCAGATCAGGAGAAAGACCTGGGATTGTAGGCTATCCCAGGTTTGCCTCAACTCCGAAGGACTGAGGAGTATCTGTGGGATCAACCCTGAATGCCATCCTTACTATGGAAAGACAGGTTTCTAAGCCTGGAAGGGCATCATTTTCCTTAACTTCTTGCAATCCTCAGCAGGCTCCCTTGATCCTTTCAATTATACTGACTTTTAGAGAACAGTATATTTCTGGATAGTTGTGCCCAAATCACTAAGATGCTACAGGAGGCATTAATTATTTACATTACCAAAGGATTCAGAAAGTCAGGGGTTCCCTTAACCAATGAGATAAGATTCCTTAGTTCACTTTAAATACCACTCAATTTATAAATATTCAATTAACCTAATTTTAGAATTACATATCTAATATAAAAAAGGGACAGCTACATATCACCTACTTTAATTAAAATTATCTTCTTTGTAGTACTTTTGTCATGTATTAGTTTTCCTAAATGTAAGTATATGTTTAAGTTAAAGAGTTGAGTCATATACACAGAAAAAAAAGAAAAAACAAAAAAAACCTCAGTCAAAACATCAGAAAAGAGCAGGTAGTACTTAAACCTACTTACAGAATATGCTAAAAATAAAAAGCACAAACACCTTAAATCTTAGCAGAACCTAACTCCCAACATAAAAATATCTCACCAATGTTCCTCCTGAAAACTGACATGGCCCTCATATGGGGGAAAAAAAAATATCTTCAGATGAAACTAGAACGGAATCATAATATAAACACTACATTATATGACAAATTTCTCCATTTTCCCTATAACTGTTTTTCTTTGGGAGCAAGGAAGGGGAGGGAGAAGAGTAGGAAACATGAAAAGCAAAAAAACGAACAAGTCTTAACTTGTGAGAAGTCAAATGGACTCAGGATTTTTCTATTTGTTTTCTGTAAATTCATATTTTCAAAGGAGTTAACATGAGGCATCAAAGTGATAAAGGTAACTATTCCCTTAACCTCAGTTTTTTTTTTTACCTGAATATTCATCTTTTTATTTCTCCAAGAATGTGAGAATGAAACTGGAATTAGTACATACTAATGCGCACTCAGGTCTTTGACTTCAAGCCCAAATCTTCACAGATGAATTTGAAAGCTGTGATTTCAAATGGACTGTTACCATAATTTAAGCCTGGAAAGCCACCGCCAGGGCCTGAACTTCATCTCAGGACAACACATGGTTTCTAGGGACCTTACTAACTGGCTGAACCTCTTGAAGTTTCTCTTCCTCTCAGTGTCAACTGTCTCTGACTTTCCTCCAAATAGTTACAGAAAGCTGGTGTTTGTCTGAATGTTCCCCATTCCATTGAAGAGTGTGTTATTCAAGACAAAATTTTAGAACAGGAAGGTACCTTAAGTATCACCTAATCCAAGCCCCTCGCTTAAACGAAGTACCAGCTGTTTCCTCTCAGGGTCCTCATGAAACCAAAGACTTTTAGAAAGCAGCAATGGTTCTTAAGCCTAGTCTAATCCAGGGCTGCCAACACAGTGTCACTGGCACATTACCAGATACTGGGTGCTTCACAGTCCGTATTGGAAAGCCTACTGGAATGGCAGGCATCCCTGTAAGGCTACAGAAGTTGCCATTCTTCTTAGCTGTGGACTAGTTTTATCAGGTCAGTGGGCATCCTACCTGTCTCAGGCAGAACAGAAGCTCCAATAAGTATTTATGCGTGTCTTTGATTAACAAAGCAAAGAAGCAAGCTGTTACTATTACACTAAATGCGGTAACATAAAAACTTTAAAAACACCAGGTTTACTGAGGTGAGGAAAATACTGGAAACTCTTCAGTAAAAAACATCTTCATTTTACTCAAGAGAAAACTACGGTTCATAAAGACTGTGCCTGGACCAATGTTTTACCACAAGTTGTGGCTGAAGGTAATGAGCGGTCTAGAATCCAAGGTGCTGGGTGCTGGTCTAAGGCTACTTCTAATTTTCTCGCTGTTGCCATGCCCAGAAACCTTCCTGCTTAGACAGATTTGTGTTTTAATTTTTCACTGGCATAAAATTGTTGTATTTCTTACTACCAAGCCTTTGTTTTCTCATCTGAAAAATGGGTATAAAATGGTGCCTTCCCCCATAGGGCTTCTATGGGTATTAAATATGATAGATACCGCAGCTAAAGCACGTATAACACTGCCTAGCACATAATGAACACTCAAAAAATTTCTGTTCGACGAAAACCGGAATCCAACAGTTCCCCAACATATAACTCACTGCAAGATTCCCTCAGCTGGGAGCTGTGGCAGAATCTGATAATGACCTCATCAACATCCAGTCTCTCATTCATCCTTAGATAAAAAACAGCGGTATAACTGGAGGGAGGGCCATGCCCAGCTAAAAGAATACACTTGGCAGCCTCCCTTGAAACCAGGGTAGCCAAAGCAAGGAAGAGAAGTTGGTAGAGAGTGCATCCAGGAAATCTTTTAAAAGATTTTATGAGGGGAAAAAAAAAAGAAACAGAAATGTGAAGCTCATGGTAAGTTAGCGGCAGGTCTGGAGTTGGAACTCTGGATTTCTGACTTCCCCAGGTGTCCTTCCCAGATCCTTCCCCAGTGTGCCAGCATCTTGAGCCCTCTCCGTGGCGAGCCCCTAACGCTAGCAGCCGCTACCAGTTCTTGCTTCCTGTGCGCCAGGCATTGTGCACACCAACACCACAAGAACCTTGTGAGGTCTCATTACCCGCGGCTCACGTGGGACCCGTTATGTTTACTCGCTCAAGGTCACAACAGCCAGTCAGTGGCAGGAGAATTTTCGCTACGATTCTGAAGCTGAAGCTGTTACCTTCTCTACTCTTGAGATCAAAGGAATGCGAGATAGCGAAATAACAAGGATTTCAACACGCATTGATGTACTGTACAAAAGGCCTTGTGCTGAAAGTCTGGAGACTACGGTCAGCTGTGCCAGTGACAAGCTGTGTCACCTTGAGCAAATCAAAACCTCTCTGAGTTTCAGTTGCTTCTGTAAAACGAGGGAATTGGGCGACTGGATCGCACGGTTTCTAGTCCTAAAATTACAAAATGTCCAATTGCCAAGAGAGAGACCAAAGAAGCCCAAGAAGACAGGAAGGGCGGACAGGGCCTGCCCGGGAGACCCCAAAGGGAGAAAAGGGAGCGCCACCCGGATCGGCCTCGCGGTGCCACCCGGGCCAAAAGGCGCGCCCTGGGGGCAGTCGCGAAGCCGGGGAGCGAGCACGCACGCGCGCGCCGCCGCCGCCGCCGCTGCCGGGTCCAGGTTACCTGACAACGCCGCCGCCGCCGCCTCCCCCCGCACGGGCAGTGTGGCCAGGGGCGGCAGCCAGAGTAGCAGCCACCACCGCCCCTGGCACGGCCCCATTTCGTTAGGGGTCAGCTCCGTGCGACCCCGAGCCCTAGGGGACCGGCTCCGCCGCGAGGAGCGGAAGTGGCGCGGGGCCTCAGAGAAGGCGGAGGGGGTGCCTCAGAGAAGGCGGAGGGGGGCGGTGAGGTCCGAACGCGGGAAAGGCGGAGACCCCGCCTCCCCGGGGCGGAGGGAGAGTTGGGCCCGTTGCTCCAGCCTCCGCCCGCGGCCTCGGGGCACGCTGGCCCAGGCCGGAAGAGCTTTCGGTGGCGCGACCCCGGTGGCATGCTCCAGTCCTCGGCCTCGGCCTCCGGGCCTCCAGCGCTCGCGGGGCGTCCAGGGCCTGATCTTCCCTTGGGGACCACCCGGCAGCGTCCCGGCGCAGGGGTGGGAGTTGCGGAGAGGAAGGGTCGCTAATCCGGAGTGTTTCTTAAAACTTGGCTGATCTGTGTGACCTGCGGGATTTGGAGGCTGAATTCTCCGAGCACCTGTGAGTGACAGCCCGTGAATGGGAAGGTCCTTGGGCAAACGCCCTTTTTGGGAATAAAATACATAAAAGCCAGTTTCTTTATTTTACCTTTCTGTTTTCCTTTTTACTTTCATTTGGTAACAAGCAATAACAAATTGGAAACTTGGCCGCTTAAGTAACACTGACCTTGTATGTCTAATCTTGGACACCACATTTCAGAGTACAGAGGGGCTTGTAAAATGTTCCTTCACCAATATGACAATCAAACTTCTCTTAAAATTAGCTTATGTTAAAAAAATAGTTTTTTAATGTAATATGTTTTTAAATTAACATACAACTCGAATGGTCTTAATACTGATAATTAGGAGATATATTAATATATATTTTAAAGAACATTCCCTCCACAGGCCCTGGAACCCATTAATTTGACTCAATATTCCATACTTAACTAGGACAGTCTTCTCTAATTCTGGTCTTTTGGTGAGATAGAGAACACAAAGTAACAGAAATTATCCTTTTTAAAATAGATAAGCCTCATTTTTCCTAAAAGTCTGAGTAGAATGTACTAGGCTTTCCTTGCCCTCAAAGGAAAATTTAAACAACTGCCCTTAAGCACTTGGCACCATGTGTACACCATGTATGGCTTTTAAAAAGTTAAGAAATTTCCTTGTAAGGGACTTTTCAGTGGGATGATTTTTAAAAATAAACCATCATTATTTGAGTGAAGCCTGTCTTCAGAGAAACAGCAGAGCCCTGAACCAAATCTTTCCGATATTCCCAGGTGAGGTGCGCACTTGCTTCTTGCAAGACAGCTTTTGTACCTAACCACATTCATTTTGATTTGGTTTAATTTTGGATGGCACTATGGAAAGTAGCTAAAATAAACAGGTGGATTGTTGAATGATGAATGTGTTTTCATACAAATATATCTGGTAGAGAAACAAAAGGGCAGGCAGCAATGTACTGAATATTTAAAGTGCTATTTATATCACAGATCATTAGTAAACATCTGTAAAGAAGCTATATTGAAACACTACATTTCTCTCTATAAGCAATAAATATTTTTCCGGAGATAAAAAGAATATTAGGAGGTGACAGTTCTGTCACTGGGGGACAATCATAAAATTCCACTTAACCTCTCCAAACCTTTCTTCTGTATGAAAACCTTATCCACTGGGGGAAGGGCAGGAAGCATTACCACCAACAGGATCCTGGCAAAGACCCCCTGCTTCTGGCAAGAGGTAGAAGCACAAACCTTCTGCCCTTTGGGGAGCAGCAGGAGCAGGAAACACTAGGGCTCCGTGTCCTGAAGCAATAGAAAGTTGAAGTTGGCTACTCCTGGGAAACTCTCACTCAAGACTCACCACAGATAAAGGAAGGATTTGGCTGCAATGGAGAAGTATCAGGAATACTGAGATAGCCCCACATCTGAGGCTTAGGTGCACAGGGCCTGCCTAAAACCAAGGCAGGACCAGGAGTGTGAAAAACCCCTTTTCCCCACTATAAGCCAAGCACCAGTGACAACACCAGTCAGCTAGTGAGGAGGAAAAAGAGTGTGGGGAGAGACCTCTCTGTAGCACAGGCATGCAAACACTGCTAAAGCTGAGTGAAGGGCACTGAGAAAAAGTCCCCAGCACTCTAGGTTCCACAATAAAACAATGTAATAGTAACCCCCTGCTAGAGGAATCTGAATGAAGCCTGTGGTACAGAGTGAAGGCAATGACAACAATAATAAAACCCAAATTCAGCACAACTCCCAACTAGATTGACTCAACTACCCACATTATTGACCGGACAGAAGAGGCTTATTTCTGGACATTAATACTATTTACCTTAGTTGTTACTATTCTCCTACATGTGATAGCCATCACTTGATCAAAAATTAAAAGACACCCAAAAAAGCAGAGAGGAGAAAAAATCAAGAGGTAAAACAGAACCAGATTCAGAAATGACCCATATACTGGGCTATAATTACTATGCTTAAAAAGCTAGTGGAAAAGGTGAATAACATGCATGAATATATATACAGAATTTCAGCGGAAAGAGGAAAATTACTTAAAAAGTGAAATGGAAAGGCTAGAAATTAAAAACACCCTTATCAGAAATGAAGAATTCTTTCAATGGGCTTATCAGCAGACTGAACATAGCTGAGGAAGAACCAGTGAATTTGAATATAAGTTGATATGGTTTGGCAGTGTCCCCACCCAAATCTCATTGAATTGTAGTTCCCATAATCCCCACACATCGTGGGAGGGACCCAGTGGGAGGTAACTGAATCATGGGGGTTGTTACTCTCATGCTAGTGAGTGAGTTCTCATGAAATCTGATGGTTTTATAATGGGCTTTTCCCCCTTCAGTCAGCACTTCTCTCTTGCCACCTTGTGAAGAAGGACATGTTTGCTTGCCCTTCCACCATGATGGTAAGTTTCCTGAGGCCTCCCCAGCCATGCAGAACTGTGAGTCAATTAAACCTGTTTCCTTTATAAATTATGGAATCTGTGGAACTATGAACTTGAGAGAGATGATTTAGGGTATCTGGTGGAAGAAATTTCTAAGCAGCAAAGCATTCAAGAGGAAGCAGAGCATAAAGGTTTGGAAAATTTGCAGCCTGACGAAGCAATAGGAAAAAAACTCATTTTCTGGAGAGAAATTCAATGCAGCTGCAGAAATTTGCATAAGTCACAAGGACCTGAATGTTAGTCAACAAAACAATGGGGAAAATGTCTCCAGGGCTTGTCAGAGACCTTCTCAGCAGCCCCTCCCATCAAAGGCTCAGAGGCCTAGGAGGGAAACATAGTATCATGGGCTGCACCTAGGGCCCCCCTCATACCCCGTCCCCTGCCCCCGGTTCTATGAAACCTTGGGACATGGTGCTCTGTTGTTCCAACTGCTTCAGCTCCAGCCTTGGCTAAAAAGGGGCCAACATACAGCTCAGGTCATTGCTTTAGAGGGTGCAAGCCCCAAGCCTTGGCAGCTTCCACATGATGTTGAGCGTGTGGGTGCACAGAAGTCAAGTATTGAGGTTTTGGAACCTCTGCCTAGATTTCAAAGGATGTATGGAAACACCTGGATGTCCAGGCAGAAGTTTGCGGCAGGGATGGAGACCCTCTGCTAGGGCAATGCAGAAGGGAAATGTGGAGCCAAAGCCCTCACACAGAGTCCCCACTGGGGCACTGCCTAGTAGAACTGTGAGAAGAGGGCCACCTTCCTCCAGACCCCAGAATGGTAGATCCACCGACAGCTTGCACTGTGTACCTGGAAAAACAGCAAACACTCAATGCCATCCTGTGAAAGTGGCCAGGGAGAAGGCTGTACCCTGCAAAGCCACTTTGGACTTGGACTTTTGAGTTAATGCTGGAATGAGTTAAGACTTTGGGGGACTATTGGAAGGGCATGATTGTGTATTGAAATGTGAGGACATGAGATTTTGGAGGGGCTAGGGGTAGAATTATATGGTTTGGCTATGTCCCCACCCAAATCTCATCTTGAATTGTAGTTCCCATAATCCCCACATGTCATGGGAGGGACCCAGTGGAAGGTAATTGAATCATGGGGGTGATTACTGCCATGCTGCTGTTTTCTGATAGCAAATGAGTTCTCATGCTAACTGGTGGTTTTATAAGGGAATTTCCCCCCTTTTGCTTGGCACTTCTCCTTCCTGTCATCATGTGAAGAACATATTTGCTTCCCCTTCTGCCATGATTGTAAGTTTCCTGAGACATCCCCAGCCATGTGGAACTGTGAGTCAATTAAACCTTTTTCCTTCTTGTTCTGCCTGGGTGGGATTCTGACTTAGAAGCATTCAGTCATAATCCCACAGATGGTAGCTTCACCCCATTGGCTCCTCAGCCAAGCACATACAACAAATGTCTGAACCTGTGGTTCCTCTTATACTGAGCAGGATTACCATGGCAACAGCACATCAACAGTAGGGTGAAACTAATCTGTCTCACAATGTTCTAAAGTGACTAATCCACTCTAGCATTCCAAACTAAAACAGAAAGGAAAAAAAAGGCAATCTCTCTTCATCCCCTCCCACCTTCCCCTTACCTCTGGTAACCACCAACCTACTTTTTATCTTCATGAGATCCACTTGTTTTTTAGCTCCCACATATAAATGAGAACATGTGATATTTGTTTTTCTGTACTTGGCTTATTTCACTTAACATAATGACTTCCAGTTCCATCCATGCTGCTGCAAATGACAGGATTTCATTCTTTTTTTATTGCTGAAAAATATTCCATTGTGTATATATAGTATATTTTTTAATCCATTCATCTCATTGATGGACACTTGGGTTGATTCCATGTTTTATCTATTGTGAATAGTGCTTCAATAAACATGAGAATACAAATATCTCTTTG